TAATCTCAATCGATGGGTATAATAAAAGGTGGATCTATCTTAAGTACTTCTGCCTGTTACATAAGTCCGCACAAACTTAATATACCCTGTATCAAAAGTGGTGTAACAAGTTTTCCATTTAGTACTATTGAGTTATTCAGTGTAAACAAACCCTAATCATGGAACGCTCAAAATTGCATTTTTGACATTCCTTCATTATTTTTTGTTGTTGAACAAGAAGAAATCTACTGTCGGAGTTCAACAAATACTTTAAGCAGCTTATACTAATGCTGCTCCCTAATAACACAATTGTCCGTTTACATGGAATAGGAAAGATTTAAAAGGAGGGAAAATGGCCGCCATACAAATTGACCGAAAATTTCCCTTTTGAACCATTTCATCATCGCGGTTTCATTGCTTGTCGAGCAAATAAAGATAAGTTTTCTGCGATGTATTGTGACTGGTGACGAAAAGTGGATCTACTACGACAAACTTAAAAACAAGTCGTGGGTTACTCCAGGATCGATCATATCGATATAAAAAAATTCCTCAAAATAATCAAAAAAAGACAGAGGGACAAATGATAAAAATTTCGTGCTTCCAAGATGAAAATAATCGCGCATCTTCAATTTTTGTGACCCGCTGATTGGCTAAATGTGGCTGCTTCGATTTCAATCCGAATTAATTACATAGTTCTGGAAAAGCATCCCGCAACGAGAACAAATTCCCAACCCAAGTTGAAAATCATTCTTTAAATTGCTTACGTTGCAGACGGACGTACGTATATGAATATTCATTGTCTTCAAGACTACAATTTTTTTCAAATCCCATAAGCCATTCTTTAATTGTTTACTGGATTTCCATAGTTTCAATTGCATTTTTTCCCAATTGAAAATGCAATAAAATACACCTATCGCTTTACACTTTGTTATTATTCAGTGAAAGGTAGCTTGCAAACAACTGCAGCTACCGTACCGTACAAACAATAATGCCAAAGTTATCTATAGTTGTAATTTTGGCAGAAATGAACGCGACAGACCGATTTTAGAAAGCAGTCAGCTTCAATAAAGAGAATTTATTTGTACAAAAATTTCGCAATATTTGCACCGATATCCTACGATTCCGTGAAGAATTTTCCGAAAATGCAGCTACTGATGCAGTCATATCTTGACACCACTTCGATATCAATTGATTTTCGAAATCGATTTTTCAGCAAAGCAGTAGTAATATTTCATCCATATTGGATATAATAACTGCAAAGCTGGCAATGTGTTTAGGTGTACACATGTAGTGCTCAACATCATTATGGATAAGAGATTATTTATATTATGTAACAGACAATGTTGGGTAAATATTATGGCATTTCGAATGAGAAATTCCGCTTTCTGTTTTTTTTATAGATTAAAAAAAAATATATATATATATTCAGACTTGCACAGGCACAGAAATACTATCCAAAATCATGTATAGATAAGTAAGAGAACTTATTAAAAAAAAAAAAAAAAAAATCACATTCGGTCGTGACTGAATCTTTTATATCCATCACCATTGTTCTAGAAAAGATCAAAACAAGTAACAATATCATATTCGATTGTGACCGAATGTTTTATACCAATCATCCTGATCTTAAAAAAAAAAAAAAAAAATTAAGAGCTAAATTTTCATACTCTATAACATTGGGTAGGTGCGGGTAATTTTTTCTATTGTTAGAGTAAAAGTGGAAAATGGGCAGTGACAAGCATAAAAACACGGATAACAAAAATATTCACAATATTGTTGTTTGAAAAGTTTGGGTCGTTTTCAAATTCCTTTGCAAATTCGTAAGCGATTCTTTTAATGCGAACGATGGAATGTGCATAGATGAGCAGATGTACGGACGAATATATTTTAGGTGCATTCCGAATTTGAAATTGGGCACAAAATTTACATACTTTACGAAGTTATAGAGTTTTGAAGCACTATAGTATTAGGTAGGCGTTGCCAGTCTTTACCATACTTGTACAGGTATATACAGCGTCGCCTATAGAACGTACATTCAAATTTTTGTAGATGTATCTGCTATTTCTTATTATAAATAATGAATAAAAAGACGAATTTTTTATTACTTTTGATAAGCAGAGGTGCTGTCAGTTTACTGAAGTACGGTAGGCGTGTTCCCCGATCGATGTGGCCCACCTTGAATACCAATATCTACGTGCAAGAACTTTCAATACTTTTGCAAAAATTTCAACTCGAGAATGTTTACAATAGTCATTATGCAGACGGACAGGCGGACATACTTAAATCGATTCACAAGCATCAAAGCTTGTCAACAATGCATACACTTTGCGGCATCTCTGAAATTTTCTTCCGAATATACCCATCATTGAAGCATCAAAAAAAAAAAAAAAAGAGAACGAAAAACCCAAGCTCTGTAAAAATGAAAAATTTTTTTAAAAATTTTAGAATTACTTTTAGGATCGTTACCCAGAGTTACCAAAATATCACCTATTAGGGGTAGAGATATTTTTGGACCTGGTATTCCATGTTTACGAAAATAACTACTGATGCGTCGTTTGCGAACAAAATCCCCTAAAAGGATCGTTAATGTTATTACAATTATTGCAGTCCAGTACATAACAACGATTTCACTCTTAATTTCACACAATTCACAAGACAAAGATTTGTCGGTTATAGTTTTCTTTTTTATTATTATTATTATTTTTTCTCTTGTCTTTTTTCGAAATTTTCTTTCAAAATGTTTTAATGCGTTTGCGGTATATAATTAATACGACGATTAGTGAATTAAATGAATTATATCAAAACTATAAAAAATATTGTTAACATTTGTATTAACATTGCAGTTTAGCATACAGTTAGCAATGACGATATTAAATGTAATTTAACAGCAATTATATGCTTTATCTTATTTGCCTTCGTTATGTTATATTGCACTGGTTGACTGATTAAATGTGAAAAGTTTTCTCGAGAAACGAGTGACCAGATTCAATTTCTGTTATTGAAACTGGGCTATTAAATCGACCGGTAACTTATTAATTGCTCTTTCATTCCATTTCATTGTAATCGTTGTCTTTCTCTTTGATCGTTACCAAGTTTGCCGTACACATATATATATATATATTTATTTGAAGAGAAAATTATAAAAATATAAAATTTTTACAGAAAATTAATTTACAATTTTTTGAATATATAATAAACATTTTTATTTTACAGCGCATTTAAAAGAATAAATTGCTTAACATTTGTTACTTTACTCTTTTCCTTTATCTTTCTCTCGTCTTATTCCATATTGTTTATATTACGGCATTTTCAATGTCAATGCTCTTTTTGAAATTTTACATGCTTTGCGCCCGCAAAAGTTAAATTCAGATTTTATGCGAAACAAATTGCAACGATTCAGGTTGAGTATGTGTTAAAAAACTGAAATGATATGAAATTTCAAATAAGAAATAACTGAACTTGAATTTTACCAATCAGAGCGTCAGTGTGTTTAATAGATTTGCCAAATATTTGTAATGCAACGAATTAGACGTTAGGTACCAGTGCATAAATGCGATATGCGGTACTCTTTATTCAATGCAATTGTAAGCCCATCAACCCAAATTGATTCATAGGCGGGTTAGGCGTAATTATCAAATAATCAATTATTATACTTTACACCGCACACCGGGTATATTAAGTTAATCGTGCGTAATACGTAGAAGGGCTTACGATAGATCCACCTTTTACTACACCGATCGATTCAGAATCATAATTCGAATTGATCTAAACCTGTCTGTCTGTCTGTTCGTCTGATGACTGTATTCAAACTACAGGTTGCGCTTTTTAAGATATTTCGATGAATTTTAATACAGTGACGTGTTTTGATCCAAGGATAACCGCTATTGAAAATGCTTCGGATCGGTCCCCTAGTAACGCCCTATTCTGAAACGTTGTTATGTGGAATTAAAAATTGTAATTTCTTGCCAAAAGTGGTTAAGTAGTAGTATTTCAGCATTCTAAATAGGTATAAAAACTTTCGACTGGCTATGGTAATTTTTGAGCACCTTCTCATATAACCCAAACTGGAGTTCATACGACAAAAAGGTATAATTTTCAATGTTTCATGATGAAAATAATATCACAATAGTAGTTTAACTTAAAAAAATTGATTATACCAAATTTAGACTATTTCGATGTATTTTT